AGGGTGAAAGCATTTGCACTTTCACTTTCTCTTTTGAGTCATATTGCCCGTATACTCTAACCATACACATTTCAAACTGATGGACAATAATATCATGGGTGATTATTTTTTTTCCTTTGCATTTCTGTTGAGAAATAAGGCTTCATGATTGAGTTTTGAAGTTTCAGTAGCGGTTGCGATGATTTTACAGAGTCAGGTTGCTAGTTCACGTTTAACCTTCCCAGTTTGTTCAGGCTTTCTACCGACTACGCGAGATTTAGAAGTGCATCTTTTGGATATCGAACCAAGAACTCTTACTTGACTGGTGGGCATTCTATTATTGAACCACAGATGGACAGAACAGTAGGGAATGGATTAGTGTTTCAGCTTAGTTAAGTACTCCTCAGAATTTTGAACCTATGACCCTACCGTAAATTAAACCTAAGACCTTTAGGCTACGATGTGAATTCGTTGAGCACTCAGCCGTCGAGACAAAGATTCTTCTCACTCTTTGAGTTCCGAGTAGAACATAGGGCTTTAAGCGATGAAGTTTCATACCAAACAGAAACTGATGCTTGTGTTAACGCTATATCAACCAATAGTTGTAAAGTAAATCTAACACGACATTATATTCTTCTTGTAATGACACTTGGAGGTCTTTATAGGTCAGATATTACTACATATTCACAGTTGACTATAGTTTATCTGACTAAAGGTAAACATTACGTTGTCAGTTTTACAACACTCCTTCGAGTTTTGGGGCCTTGAAGTTCCAGTAGCTGTGTTGTTGTCGGTTTTAAGAAGTAGAATTTGCTAGCCTCACGCCAAACCTCCCCTCTTTTCCAAACTTATTATCGAGATTTAGGAGTGGATCAGCCGGTAGTTGAACATCGAACCACCTGCGTGATTGGCCAGCATTCTATTACTGAACCATTATTATTATTATTATTTATTATTTAAACACAGAAAACTTCGTACAATATGGCACCAAGAAGATCCGCCACATAATAATAATAATAAAACATAGATTAAAAGTAAAAACGACAAAGGTGGAGAGCGGATAAAGAACTTCATCTGGAAAGAAAACAGTTATACTTAACAAGTTCGAACAGCATTCGTCAACTATCATCAGGAAAGGAAGAAAAAAGGAAATTACAGCATGTTCGCTATTGATGACTGAGATTCTTGGCCATATCAGATAACGTTTCGAGACATCGATTCAAGCTAACACTCAGACTGCAAAAAGGAAGTCGTAAAGCACCAACCGATGTTAACCTAGCACAAATATCCTTCATCCAACGACGTCACGTCATGGGCTGACCACCTTTCCGCCTTTTTCATCCCGTCCGAGGGCTAGCAAACGGAGACTTGTACCGAAGTATCACTGAACCAACAACATCCTGACTATATCACTGATTTCTTTGATTACTGCTTCACATCCAAGCTCATTAGCAGTCAGACAGTCATTTTATAAGTCCATGTTGTAAACATCATCATCAACTGACGTGTAGAGATACCCCTAAGTATATTCATTAAACTTTAACAGAAAGAATACTCAAAATCTAATTCAAAAAATAGCCAATTGTAAATTTAACAGTATAGATTCGGCATGTCATTAGGTGAAAAACAGTTAGATGAGATAAACTGCATAGAATGCACATCATTCGACTAGCCATTTCATAATAATGCTCTAATATTAATGTAAAAATAAGAGTAGAAAAATCAACTATCTACCAAAAATAAATAAATAAATAATCTATCAGCGATAAAATTCTAAAATACTTATTGATTTATAAATACAAGTGAGTTTTAGTCATTTTTTTTCGGCCAATAACAGTTTCACTTATTTGTATTGTGATTTGTGTACCTGACCATTTACAAAAAAGATCGATAGCATACTGAGGTGAAAAATATCGCATAACTTTTTGTCGTGCAGAGACAGCTTGATGACTAAACTTATTTTTTTTCAATAAAATCTCCAAACTGTTCGACTATGAGGATTCGATTCGCTTCAAGTTTGATTACAGATCAATATAAGTCGAGAACCATTGGAAACCACGGTGTAATGAACATCCTTTTTCAGGGCTATTCATTAATATGCACCCATGAACTCATCGAAGATAGAAACCAAGACCCCGATAGCCCATTCAGCCAATTGGACAGAATCCAATAACGTATGAATTCTAACTTCTCATGTTTAGCGAGTATCAGCACCACCAACACTTAATTTGATTGGTTAGTACTTTTCTTCTCACTAGACCAGACCGATCCCACTAGATACGTGCCATTGAAGAGTCTCATACTCGGTTAAAACAGCTGTCCAGTATGGGCTATCGGATTCTTTCCTTGCAGTGAAATGGAACTGTCCAGTTTACTTTTATTTTATTACTTTACGTTCCCAGTGGAACATAGGGCTTCAAGCCAGAGGCTTGCAGTTTCGGTAGTAGTGGTGTTAATTTTTACTGGATGGCAGAGGTAGCCCAGTCTTCCCTGTGTCATTTCTGGGTTAGTGAGACAAAGGAGTACGTCGGTCACGGACCGCAACCCATGCGTGGTTGGTGAGCGTTCTACCACCATGCCATCAACGCACTCTTTGCTCTACCCAAACGTAATATATGTCGACAAGCTGAAGTTGCTTCACTCTATCTAAATATGATATCATGAGAAGTATATTTCACTCATCACATGAGTAATATCCACTTCAAAAGTAAAACCTAACATAATCTTACCTAACAACCAGTTCAGAAGTCGAAGACATTCTTCTTAAGAGTGACGAGATTGTTCAACTCTGAAATAATACAGAAGATTTGTAGCTCAGGTGGATGATTTGCAATTATTAGTGTTCTCCGACCTGGTTGGTTTAGTTGACGGAGACGCAATTATATCACTCATGAAAAATTTAAATCATTTCGCTTTATGCTAAATATTGTGCTGAAGATTTTGTCCAGAAGGACTACGAAAGCTCCACAACTAAACCAACCAGCTCAGAGAACACTATTAATTGCAAATTGTTCACTTCTTTTGAATTGTAAGAACTGACTATCTGTGGAGAGATAGAACAATTACTAACTATTCATATTGTTTCTCCTTGGATGATACGTCGCTTTTACAGGCAGTCAGGAAAGTTTGTGAATGACGGTTGAGTTAAATTTCAAGCGGATGTCAATTACTTAATTTCCTTACCGAAAGATATAGTAACCGCCAACTATATTGGATAAACTGCTAAAGGAACTAGTTTATCTGGAGAGATACACTTGAAGGACCTCCATATATCAATTGTTTTAACATAGTAGTCAAAACGCGAAAGAAGCTAGAATAAACACATACACGCACACACACAAGGTGTCATACAAGCCAATAAACACCAAAAATCAACCATAACTTACACTGATGTCACGGGATAAACTCTAATCTTTATGTCAAAAAAGATTCCTTAGGATCACGCTAGTTATACAACAGAAAATAATAATGACAATGTTATGAATCTAGTAAGCGTAGTTGGCTTAAGAACAGTTGTTTTCAGGTGTGAATGCACAATTTTAGACAGCACATCTTCGGTTCATTGTAGTTAAAAAAGCGAATCCAGCAGTTACACAGTCCGGATTTCTTCTAAAAATGGGTAACAATTATATATATAGTATTTTCTACAGGTTTAATATCAGTTACAGAACCATTGGAAATCACCAGGGAGTACTGGACAGCTGTTTCATCCTAGTTTGGGAATCATCGGCAGTAGGCACCCACTGGGGTTCCTACCCAAGATATTCCTGTTACAAGGCAAGCTCGTATACTATTCAGCCACTGGGACCCGACTCAATGGGCCATGAATTCCTACTCCTAACAGAACAAAACTAATCCTTACAAACCAACTCTTAGAATATATAATATTACCGAAGACAGAACTTCAATTGAACTCAAGGATGATTATGATGGTGAAAGTGCCTAACCAACACCAAGAAGTATCGATCACTATCCACCACAGGAAGTCACCATTTTTATCATTCATCTACGCGGCATCGTTTCAACTACAGCCAGCAGAGATGAAGGTTTCAAAGACAGGATGGCAAGAATAAGATAGAAAACCTTCATTATTCTGAAGTCAGTATGAAAGTCTACTACTATGACCATCATATGGTAAAGTTTCAAATTTTTAAACACCTGTCAAATCAGTGCTTTCACACAGTTCATAGATGCTGCGAATGTCACCAGAAGCATTTCCAACAGGCTTATGAATACTTCCATCAAACAGCTGCCTCTTCACTTGATGATACTGAAGATCAGCTGACCGGTCGGAAAGGATCAGTGACAAGGAATTCAGGAGTGGAAATGACATATAACTCAAAATCCACTTGTAATTTTATGAAGTTGGCAATAAGCCACACCTATTGTGTGAAGACTAATAATGACAAGAGACCTGGTAAAGAAATGTTTATTTGGAATTTGGTATCTCTATATACTTAGCGAAACTATGTATACCTTATCTCCAAATCGTCATTTGCACAGATCTCCCTTCACTAACAGTTGTCTTCGCTCAATACTCAGGATCAGATGGCCAGAAAAGATCAGCAACAAGGAGGGATCTCTGGCAATGAGAGAACCAACCAGGACCCGATTGTGAAACAAATAGGCAGGAAGAAATGAAGATGGATTGGTCATACTCTGAAGAAACCATCAAGTGACATCACAAGACAAGCCATCGCTCGAGTGGAACCCGAAAGGGAAGCGGCAAGTTAGTCGTCCAAGGGTGACTTGTAGAAGGTCGTGTGAAGAGGAGATGAAAACATGTGGGCGGATTAGGAGCCAGGTGAAAATTCTAGAAGAGGACCGAACGCAATGGAGACGCGCGGCTGAAGCCCTAAGTTCCTCTAGGAATTAAAGGAAATAATAATAATAATACAGATCTTCTATGTTGTGCTGCTCCTGCCCTCCTTATTGTGTGTTTCATTGTCTTCCTTTCGTGTCTCTCACGTTTTCCTACCACACTGATTCATTTGATTTCTTTGACATGAAATCTATTCTCTCCGCTAATTAATATTTTTTAAGCCGATGAACGTCTCTTACATACTACTAATTAATCCCATCAATAGCATACAGCGTACTACTAACTGACTGCTGAAATCTCGGCAGGTGAAGTGGAGCTCGAACTCGTGACCCACTTAGTTGGAAATCAACAGTCTAACCTAATGAACTACACAGCTCCATGGACAGGAACTCTAGAAAGCACCAAGAGCCCATCACCTATTCGAAATGCCGAAGGAAATGCACATAGGTTGGACAGACGCTGGGAAGACACCGTTGAGCAACATCATCGGGGAGACTGTGTAACGACGACAAGGGAATGAATGCACCTAACGGGCAATCGCCGAGTCAGTTAGTAAAAAAGTTCTCTAGGACACAAGATGAAACAGAGAAGGAAAGCTCTCTTTTTTGAATATAATTGTAATAATCAATGTCCTAGAATACATGTATATAAACGAATCACCGTTATTATTATTATTATCACCATCAGCTGATTCGGTCAATGAAACAAAAAGAAAGATTAAGTAAGTGAATGAAAAAAGAAAAGGAACACACACATAAAAAGAGGAGAAATCTGTTCATCGTCAAAACAAAATAATAATATTAATAAGTAGTATATTAATGAATCATCACAATTATTATATTATCATCTCACTCACTATCAATACTATTTCTTTGTAAACTCATAAGAATATATGATACTGAATAAGTAAACTGCATATAATAATAATTAATAAATATACACTTGTACATAATCAGTCATATCTGAAATGACAAATAGAAAGGTCTAATTAACATCGAGTTCAACACCGTGCACAGGCTAAGCTAAGAGAGTTGAGATTAGAACAATCTGCCTTTTTCATCTTGAAAAATAAAGGGAAAATAACTTTATGAGAAAAAAAACAGTACAGTGAATAAATGATGATTAGATTACATAAGAGATACATATATTCTCTGCCTCTGAGCACCCCAACACCCCCCCCGGAGGGTGGATTAAATGCTTTCTAAACACACACACACACATAACTACACATATAAAACATGATTTCCGGTAAAAATATATATAATCAAACGATAATAATAATAATAATAATAATGATAATAATAATAATAATTACAAGCGAGATAAAGACAGATAAACTAAGTACAATATAAGAAAGTCAATGAGGAGAAATAGGCAATAAAATAATAATAATTTGTACAGTCATCAATTAAATGAAATTATCATAAAAAATAACCAAGTGAAATGCTTTTATTTTAATAACCCTGAGTTGGTATGCAGAATACACAAGCGCGCGCACGCACACACACACGCACCCACACACACATCAACGTAACGCCCATAACGACAACAACTACTACTACTACAGTGAGTGCTACACACAAACTTCCAAATGTATAACTGACACTGTATGAGGGGGGCAGAGACAGAGCATAAGTGTTATGTTACTAAGTCATATTCAAACATTTACGGAATTACAATTATGTGACGGATTAGTCGGTCTGACAGTATCACATTCAACTGTCGGTCTACACAACAGTAACAACAACAAAAATGCATACTTAATCTGTCGCCTACATATATTTTTTATAGAATTTTAAAAGAGAAAAAAGAGTATATTATAAATCACAATGGACGAGATTCAAGTGCAGAAGAGGCAAGAGACACACACACAGAGATTATCCAACGCGAAATGCATAATAAAGGGTAGCATAACAATAGACACCCCCCGACGGCCATCACGACGACGACGACAACAACAACGAAATTAACAAATAATACAAATATAAATAAATCTGATTACAGGTAGATTGTGTAGAATTCGAATGCATTATAATCACAATTTGTAGGCGTGTGAATTGCACAACCAACCAAAGAAGAAAATAATTGATAATTGTAGTGGAAAATATGTAAACTTTTGATGTATGCTTTTTCCTCAATGAGTATTCTGATGCAATTTATCTTTAAGTAAGCGTCCACTACAGCACTTGGAGACAACTGAATGAATACCGTTAATATTCGATGAGGTGACTGTCGTTGGTCTTGTTGATAGTGGTGGTGTTTGTTGTGGAGTTGTTGATGCCAACTCGGTGTGATGATGATGGTGGTGGTGATGATGATGAGGATGATGATGATTAACAGCAGAAGCAGAAGAAGCAGCATTACAGCTGGACATAGGCATACCCGTAGTCGCGATGGCGTTCGAGGCAATTGTAGACGAATTTGTCGCTGCATGCTTATAATTTGTATCTGAAGAAGTAACAAAGTAATCTTCAAAAAATTCAAAAAGAAATGCAAATGTCGGTCGTTTCTCTGGACAACTATCCCATATTTGTAATAACATATCATAAATTGGTTGTGGACAATTAGCTGGACGTGGCATACGATAACCTGTACTAACTTGATGCAGTGTTTCAGTATTATTCATTGATGGATATGGGACTTGACCAAGTGTTATTAACTCATAGATAACAATACCAAATGACCAAACATCTGATTTAATTGTAAATCGACCCATCAATGCAGCTTCTGGAGCTGTCCATTTAATAGGGAATTTTGTACTCTTCTGTGCCATATACGTGGAATAGTGATCTTCAACCATACGCGCTAAACCAAAATCAGCTATCTTTACACAATTATTCTCTCCGACTAGAATATTACGTGCAGCTAAATCACGATGAATATAATGCTCTTTCTCTAGATATGCCATTCCATTGGCGATCTATTATAACATGATAATGGAAACAAAACAAAAAGAAAGAAACATGAAAGATAAAGGAAATACAACACACTTAAATAATAATGATAATAATTTGCTTTATCCCAAAACAGGACTAATGTTACAGTGTGAAATTTTCAGCATTTGGTATAATAATGCATCTAATTTTATCGAATGCGCCGGTGGCATAGCGATTAGGACGCTCGCCGACCATGCACATGGTTCGGAGTTCGATCACGGGCCACTGACGCACTCCTTTACCTAGCTAAGCCAGAAATAATGCTGGTAAAGAGGAAAGGTTGGGCATGAGGCTAGCAACCCCATCCTGTAAAACAAACACTGCTACAAAAACTTCAAGCCACTAGCTTGACGACTAGTGGTGTCCGTCAAGGATACCCATTATACCCTTTTCTATTCAACTTCATCATAGATGTACTAATGGACTTAACCCTAAGTGACTTCAGAGACTCAGGGATTGACTTGCTACCAGGGAATAATCTCGTTGACTTAGAATATGCTGACGATATAGTCCTTCTAGGCGAGGACGCTGACAAAATGCAGTCTTCTAAACACCTTGAGCAGCAATCTACGAATGTTTGGCATGCGATTCGCTCCTGTTGTCAAATGCAAGATGATGTTACAGGACTGGACTACATCAACGCCTAGTTTAAAAATAGGAAGTGAAGTGGTAGAGCACGCTGACCGCTTCACTTATTTGGGAAGTATCATCAGCCCCAAAGGGTTGATCGTTGACAAAATCTCAGAACGGATACAGGGGGCTAGTTTCGCATATGCCAGTTTATGCCGTCTCTGGCGTAGACGAGATATTCGACTATCGACCGAAGGGCGGGTGTACTGCTCATCAGTCCGTTCCGTCCTCCTTTATGGCTGTGAGTGAGACCTGGCCACTGAGAGTGGAAGACATGAAAAGATTAGCTATCTTTGATCATAGGTGCCTGCGTTCTATCCCCCGTGTGAAGTGGCATAATAAGGTGAGCGATATTGAGGTTAGGAGTCGGTGGAGTGCTAGGTAAACAGGGGAAATCAATCGACGAGGTTGTGAAGTTACAAAGACTGAGATGGTTAGGACATGTGTTACGTATGCCCAGTCATCCCCTTCCTCGACGAGCAATGTTAGCGGACACATGGTCAGGCTGGAAAAAAGCTAGCGGCGGTCAAACAAAAACATGGCACCAGTCAATGAAATCCACAACAGTTGGTATAAGCCACGTAGGAAGGTGTAGACTTCCTGACTGGTTGGGGTCCTCAGGACGGTAAAAACCAATGGTTGGAAACAATTGGTGACATGACTCAAAATCGTTCTCAGTGGCGCAGATGCATCCACTCCCTATGACTTATGATTTCCAATGAAACTGTTTTGTATTTCTTTATTACTCCTTTGTCTCACACCTCTGCTCACTGTCTCTATTATGCTTTTCTTGTACTTTCTTCTCTTGCTTTGTGTGCTACACGGAGTGTGGCAACTTGAACTGCCGCACATTTGTGCAAAGTTCTGTGTCGAAAACAAAAAGACAGCTTGGAGCCCTATGTTCCACTGCGGAACGTGAAGGAAAAAAAATTTTATCGAATGACATTAAAAATAATTACAAAAATAATATTACAGGATTATTGATGGCAGTTCTTATTCACATTTTGTAGAGACAGTTAAGTCACATATTTACAAGAAAAATTTGTAACCAATAATAAGGTTAGTAATCAAGATTGTCAGTTAGTTGAAATAGTGTCACTCTAGATTACAAATAAGAGATAATAAAAGAGCCCATTATTTTGCCAACAACACAATAATTCATAAGTTTCGCACTTAACACTGTCTCTATTGCATAGAACACGGGCTGGCCAAATATGGTATCGCTGAGTTCCTATACTTGGTAGTACGAACATACAATCTTTTGTACTGACTTCTGGTTCTACCAGATGAGATACAAGGGGAGAGAGAGTTGAGAATAAACAGGGTGTTGAGGGTCAGACAATATGGATTTGCACCATTTCTTTCATGAGTTCAGATGTCTATCAAGCAATGCAGTAACAAGCTGACTAACTTGAACACCACTCGCCCTACTGACAACCTTTAATAATATCTTTCTCAAAATGACTTAAAGCTTTTTGAGTAGTCTAAGAAAGACTAATGGGGAGCAGTAAAGTACAATGGATAAGATAAGAGTCGACAATACAATAAGAAGACGTAGTTTATCTCAAAGGTGTTATGTATTTGTGCAACACATTTCGGACATTCTGATCACACGAGCACTCGTCATGCATAGTTATAGAGAAGACAAGAAGGCATGAATCATTACAATGCAGATCAGGTTGTGTACAGGCCAAGGTCACAAATAATGCGTACAGAGATGACGCGAAAGTGTGGGTGAGAAAGGAAGAACAAGAGCAAAAGTGTTTGTTCAAACACATTCAATGTATACGTACTCCCGACACAAGTTGAAGAAGAAACACAACACCTCACTGAATATTGTTAGATAACAATTACCCGTTGAGATCAACAAAGTTTAGTCGGTAGACAAAGACTCAAGGCGGCGACCAATATAACTTATCTTCATTGAGAAAACGAGAACTATTATGTCCAGTAAAGCTTCACTGAATCCGAACAATAGTGTCACATTGCAGTGTGTTTATCAACTTACATGTATGTGTAAACATACGTATATAGGGAGGACCCATTGGTCCCTGCATGTTAGGGCTACGGAACTTATCTGCTTTTGACTAGGTCCCTAGGGACATCTTATTAAATAAACTTGCTGCAAGTCAAACAGAATGTTGGGCTGTTAACTGGGTTACATTCCTATTTCTCAGAAAGAAAGCAGTACACTGTATATAAAGGGAAGTCTTCCACTTCATTGCCTATTGAAACTGGTGTCCCTCAAGGCGCTGTCCTTTCTCCTTTTCTTTTTTCTTTCTTCTTGCATGACTTGCCTCACTCTGATGAAACAAACTTTGTGAAGTACGCTGATGACTTAACGGTTTCAATGGCTGTTAACTCCCAGCTAGATTGTACCAAAATAAATAGCTTTCTATCGGAAGTCAGCAAATGGTCTGAGTCTAACGGTCTCAAACTGAATCCTTCTAAGTGTCAAACTGTTGATTTCAGCTTAAGATGTAAACGACAGTTAAAAGAAGTCATCGATTCTCATGACAGTTGTAAAATTGACGACAATGATATAGGAATCAAATCAGAAATTAAGTATCTTGGACTCATTCTCTCTTCTGATCTCTCCTGGTCTTCCCATGTCTTAGCAATCTCCAGTAAAATATTCCGCTTGACATTTTACATTAAGAAGTTAAGACACTCGGGTATAACTCAACCCCACCTCATACAGTTCATAAACTCTGGCATCCTACCTATTATTCTTTATTGTTCATCCTTATTCTTTCCTGGTTTGCTTAAAAAAGACTATGTCACAATTAGTAGAATGCTGAAGACTGTCAGTAGGGTGAGTGGTGTTCCAGTGGACCACATAGTTAACATCGTTGTCGATAGGCACTCGACTGCGTGCAATAAATTTGCTAAAGGGATTTTTTCTGACTTGGAGCATCCGCTTTACCCTCAGCTTTCACCTTGCATCTCCTCCCCAGGTAGAACAAGAAGTAGCTTCAGAAAACTGTATGCTCGCACGTCTAAGTATAGAAATTCTATGATACCATACTTGGCACGTATTTTATGTGATGAAAATAGTGTCAGGCAAGAATTAACTAACCTTTTTTCATCTAGTAAATAAATAATTTCCTCCATCCATCCTTCAAGTTTTACTTTTATTATTTCTGTTACATTTATGGCCCTGTTCCTTCTTTGTTTTACTTTCATAATTGCAAACACCAACTTATCTCCATGACGGCTGTAATCTTTGTTTTTCCCCTTACCATATCATGTAAAGAGAACATTATATTCAATATTTTTAAACATGCTAGGATTTCTATTCCACATCGACAATACTGTGTGAAACAAGCCCACTTGTATTATTATTATTATTATTATTACCCTAGCTGCTATCATTATTATTATTTCCACTTTATATTCTGCATGTTTCTGACATTACTCCTATTGTAAATGTGGAAAATTTTCTGCGTGATTAATTTTTATTTATAATTTGAGGAAATTAGATGCAATATTGTGATTAATGCTGAAAACTCCATTCTGTATCACAAGTATTGTTTTTGGAATAAAGTAAATCATCATTATTATTATCAAGTGGCTGCAACAACAAATAAAATCGCCGGATACAACTGATCCCGGAAATAGATGCCCAACATCATCTAAAGTGAAGCATATCAGAAAGTTGATTTCAATAATGCTTTTAAACCCACACATAAAACAAGGTTGGGTCACATACTCAAATCCTTCTCTTTATTACAGTCGCTGAGAGTATTTAGACTTCTACAAAATAAACAGGATTCTTTCTAGACTGAGCTAAAAGACTGTCTACTAGTTCCTTATAACAAAACTGGGAAACGCAAATATTAAATGTTAGTGTGATGTGTATTCACATAATTCCTTACAGGAGTTGTTTAAACTAGACAAGGATAAATTATTATTATTATTTTATAAAAACGCCCCAGTTAAAATATGTTTATTGTAATTCTTTTTAGTGTGGCAACTTGAAGTGTTGCACTTCTCTGTTCTATGTTGAAGCTCCGACAGTTAATCGGTCAGGGAAATTAATGTCAATTCAACTACAAGTTAAATTCTATGCGAAAATCAAACAAATTACCTGAGCCATCATATCAACTAGAGAATTGAGCTGTAAATTTCTTCCAGCACCTTCACGAAGATACTGTAATAGACTACCGTTGCACATTAATTCAGTAACAATGTATATAGGATCTTCTGTGCATACAGCGTATAATCGGACTAGTTTAGGATGTTGAGCTGCACGCATAATTCGAGCTTCTTTTAGGAATTCATCTTTAGTCATTGTACCTTGTTTCAATGTCTTGACAGCCACTTCTGTAGTTCCATTCCAAGTACCTATTTCATGAAACAGAGGAATAGAAACAAAACATTATATATATATATATATATATATATATATATATATATATATGTCGTAATTGGTTACCATCACTTTTTTAGTGATAGATATAAACTAAGAATGTTACGGGGAAGTGATTGACGGAAGTAAAAAATTAGTAGTAAGCGGATTTGAACATTCGCTGACTTGAATGTCACACATGCTAAGCTACTCCAAATGCCGATTTTACGTATCATCTGCCAGTATTAGATGGTCGGGGGCAATCTGCAGGAAGTTTTGCCTGATCCTAGGTTTCGTTCTAGTTAGCAGTCGCCAGTCAGCAAGGCCTATCAGCAACCTTGAAGGAACTCACTGGGTGACGCGGGTTCGAATCTCAGAAGGGAAATGAGTTCCTTCAAGGTTGCTGATACGCTTTTTGCTGACTGGCGACTGCTAACTAGCACGAAACCTAGGAACAGGCAAAGCTTACTGCTGATTGCCCCAACCATCCAATATCAACAATTTAAAGTGCACTGTGATAGCGAGCCACCTAGTGGCTTGTTGATTACATTGCAAACTTGACTGACTGATTGACAGAATTCAGTCTGCACCAAACAAAGGATTAGATACATTACACTATTTACTAAGTAGTTCCCAATCAACATATCTCTATTAATAATAATATCTTTATTCTGAACAGTGTTTATATAATGTACAGAATTTCCACCAGAGTTGATTATTGCACAATATTTTCTCTCTGTTCAGGATCTTCAAATAAAGTATTAACTGACACAGTGTTGTTTGACTTGAAGAGCAAATCATTTCATTATATCTCTTCCTTGTTTTCTTCGAAAAACGCACAACATTTAGTTGAATGTCAATTATAAAAATGTTCAGGAGTACATTTTGTGAACCAAGGACACAACTCAATAACAGTTAACTCATGAACTTGGATACGTTGCCACCCAACGATTATGCTTATTCTCAAATTCAGAAGAAATTTGAGAATTTGCAGTTTGTATAAAATTTAGGCACTCCAAAGAGTTAAGTGATACCATTAGAGGTTAAATTTTATAAAATTAAAACAAACTGAAGAGAAATTATATGCGATATATATTAGAGGCGGAGGTGGGGGGCTCCTGGTAGCCCAAGTCTTCAAAAACAGACAGCATAAGCTTACCCAAGTAGAGAGTGAACCAATGAATGAAGTCTCTGGCTCTTAATACGAGTCGTACAAGGCAAAGTTGGAGTTCTTGTTCCTACCTACGCACCAAAGAGAATCGATTAAAAAAAAATACACTTATCCATAACTTTTCTTTATTCAGATTCTTTCATTTTTGCTACTGTCCTTATGTAGAAACTTTTCGACACAGTGTACTTACGATATTTAAGACACTGGTAGAACTATGCCATCTTAAGAGACAAAAGTATTTTTTAGAAAGATAGCAGGGTAAGTAGCAAGGCCAACTGACCTCACATTTAACTTGAAGGTTCATAACACTGACTGCTACGAGGAAAGCTAACATTTCCAGTGACATTACCTCTCAACTTTTATATGGAACCACGGAACTATGACCTTAAAAGTTGCATACATATCTTAAACTTTAGTAGTGACAACCACTTTGGAATAAGATATTCTGGATTAACCTTATGATATTCAGTAGAGTTAGTAGACAGTAGACTTTGTGCTAACCACTTCACCTATTTGGGGAGTTGCATCAGCCAGCGGGCTGATCGATGATGAAATCTCAGCACTAGATACAGAAAGCTCGTTAGGCATACGCCCACTTATGCCAACTCTGGCACTGACATGAAAACTGGCTGCCAACCAAAGGCTGTAACTACTGCTCAGAAGTTAGCTCTCTCCTCCTTTATGGCTTCGAGACATGACCATTAAAAGTTCAAGATACGAAAAGGCTAGCTAGATGTCTTTGATCATAGGTAGGTGCCTGTGTCCTATCTCCTGTGTCAAGTCGCATAATAAGGTGAGCAATATTGACGTAGGTGGGAAGGGAAATCAACAGGCCAGGTCGTGAAGCAACCGCATCGATTCAGATGCTTCAAACATGCGTCACGCATACCTAGCCATCGACTTCCTAGACGATGGGCGATTTTAGTTGACTAACATAAGGATGGATCAGGTTGGAAAAGGGCTAGTGGTGATGGTCAAAGCAGAACGTGGCTCCATCAGTCAATGAAATCCACAACACTTAGTTTAAGCCAGCCAACCAGCCATGTAGGGAGCTGTAGACTTCCTGACTGTCTGGTCGCGGTCCTCAGGATGGTAAGAACCAATGGCGACTGGCGACAATTGGTAATATATGGCTAGCTCAAAATCCTCGTTCTCAGTGGCTGACGAAGGTGCATTCATTCTTTGTGATTTTTCATATCCCATAAAACGTTATTGCTCTTCCATATTACTCTTCTTCTTTTTGCCTCACTCACATTTCTGTTGTTTATCTCTGTCTCTCTTTCTCGCTCTGTGTTCCTTTTGAATCTGTCTTTACTCTATTTGCGTGCTTTATGTGGCAACTCGAACTGCTGGACGTGTGTTCAAAGTTCTCTGTTGAAACCAGTCAGTCAGTACACAGCAGACTTTAGTGGACCGCATTCCATTCAGCAGTTAACTTAAATGCTGCGCAACAATAAAGCATAACTGGCAAGTTTAAAGTAATCGCCATATAAGCTGAATGAGGGTACATTCTGCACACGTTAACCTAAGAATTCCAGTGACAAAATACCTTAAGAATTTCATTTACAACATTTAATGATTCAGTTAACTGAAGTTAAACACACAGAATTGAGTTAGACTGAATAGTCTTGAGAGCACAGAAGAAGAAAAAAAGCTACCACTAAATCAACAATACTTACCTTTCCAAACTTCACCAAATTGTCCAGCTCCAAGTTTTTCAATTAAAACTATAGACGATTTAGGTATCTCCCATTGGTCTTTTGTTTTAACCGATAAGTCAGATGTTATTGGCGGAGGACGCAGACATGCTCTTGTCAGTTTACAGCATAATCCATGTGAATCAACTGAATAGAACTGAACTAATTCTTGAAGACTAGAAAAACTACACTTAGTTGTGATATAATAATATCGATAATCTGGATGTTTTATACGATAGTGTTTCACTGTATTTGTAACACCGGATACTCCGCGTTCCTCGTCTCTTACAGATAAAGTTAAGGAACCTGAAAGCAAATATTAAGGCGTGTATAAGTTTTTAAATTCAAAAAAGAAACACCTGGAAATAATATAACTCAACAGAAAACCAGAGGGTCAGGTAAAATTAAATAATCATTTCACGACACTAAAAAATACCAAAAGTAACAGATTCAAAATACGGACAAATACTAATGACTAGACTACCACTGGGTGATGACGTTGCTTAATAATGATACAAATTACATCGTAGAAAAGACTGAAGTTTTGACTCAGGAAAAGCCCTGCAAACTGAATTCAATTCTATTGATCTAGGTGCTCGACAACTAACCACTAGGTTAACCGGCTTGAAACCTGCCATCCCCCTACCGGGGTCTGCGTAGCTAGATAGTATAACTAGTTCTCACACAATAGGTGAGACTGATTGTCAACTATGTGGCTTCGCTAAGTGGCTGAACATATATATATATACATTTACATGCTTCTGTAGTTTTCCTGCTGTTGCAACTATCATTATGGCGACAAAGGGGGATCAATCACACAGTGAGAGAGAGATCAATGAAGCATGATAAGAAAAGCAAAACATTATGACTAGTTATATTGTGAAAAAGTGTTAATATCACAAAGTAATTCAATGTAATAAGGTATTAACTGAAACTGAACAAGAATCTGAGTCGCTGCAGAATTTAAAACCGAGGTGGCAGCATATACGTAGATGTCATGTTGGAAAAGAGTTAGGGGCGGTGAAACCAAAACATGTCGTTACTCTATGAAGTCTTTGACAGTTGGTCTCAACCAGTCACATAGGTAGGTGTAGACTGCCGGATTCGGGTCCTCTAGATGCTATTGTGGTCATATGAATCAAAACTGTTCTCAATGGTGAAGATGTATTCCCTCTAAGCCATTTCTGTTAAATCCATATTGTTTTCTCGTGTTACCCTTCTTTCTCTCACAAATTTCTGCTTATTGTTTTGAATTTCTTTTCTCTATATTTTCTCTGCTCCTGTGCACTACACACGGTATGATAGCTGGAAGTGCTGGACTTCTGTGCAAGGTTCTGTGTTGCAAGTCAGCCAGTCAGTCATGTAGTTATAAACAACGTCAGTGGTTGAGGCTGACAGCTCAGCTTGATCAGTGAGATAATGTGATGGGTAATTTGGAGGCTATTGTTTAGATTCTCACTCAAAATCCCCACTACTACCATATATTGGGCGTCCTACTTCTACAAGTGGTTTGACGAACAATATAACTCATTTATATTTAGTAAATATGTCTTCACTTATAGCCCACAATACTGAAAAATCATACGGATAATAAGAAGGACTAACTCCTGTGGAGCTGAATACATAGATCATTCTATGCACGTCCTATGAAAACGTGTTAGAAAACACTGCCCAGAATGTATGTAAAGAGGTGGCACTGATACAATCAAAAATGTCTTATGATATTGAACACATTGTCAACACCTGTCACAGCATATCTCAACTGACACATCATCATTCAGAGTCACTTACAAAGTAAGCAAAAATCCATCGAAGGTAGTGTGTTCCCGACTTTTATTCTACGATAGAAGCCCTCGTCATGTGCATCGAAAAGCCAAGCCTCTACATTGATCATGATTCTAAACCAGTTTGACACCTTAGTTTTCTTTTCTCCTGTTCCCTTACCATTTCAGTTACAAAACATATTTAGAAAAATATTATCTGAATTTGTATTCATGCTTATCCCATTCACATCTGTCTTTGTTAAAACAAAAAAACTATTCTACATGCATTATGCAACACTACTTCCTAATTCTTTGTGGGTTTTTTTTTACTACGTCCCCGCTCCTCGCGTGTTAGTAGTATTGTACACCTTCGAATTTTCATATAAAGTTGAAAATTGTTGTCGCCTATAAACACTCTTTCGTTATCATATGGGATGGAAAAAAAATTATAGCTACGTATAAAAATGAGACTGTACAGTTGTTTTCAAAGTGTTATTCTGATAGGTACTTTTTCACGATTTAAAAGTATGCTGTCAAAGTAGGTGTGAAATACAAGATATATACAAACAGCACAATAACAAGTCATACTTGTTGTAAATTATCTTCGCCTGCATTTAAAATACATGCTGACTGACTAACTGAGAACTATGAACACATGTGCGCACCAGTTCGAGTTGCCACAATCCCTCCACGTAGTACACAAAACAAGACAAGACAGCAAAGACAGATTCAAAAAGAACACAGAGCGAGAAAGAGAGACAGAGATAAACAACAGAAATGTGAGTGAGGCAAAAAGAAGAAGAGTAATATGGAAGAGCAATAACGTTTTATGGGATATGAAAAATCACAAAGAATGAATGCACCTTCGTCAGCCACTGAGAACGAGGATTTTGAGCTAGCCATATATTACCAATTGTCGCCAGTCGCCATTGGTTCTTACCATCCTGAGGACCGCGACCAGACAGTCAGGAAGTCTACAGCTCCCTACATGGCTGGTTGGCTGGCTTAAACTAAGTGTTGTGGATTTCATTGACTGATGGAGCCACGTTCTGCTTTGACCATCACCACTAGCCCTTTTCCAACCTGATCCATCCTTATGTTAGACAACTAAAATCGCCCATCGTCTAGGAAGTTGATGGCTAGCTATGCGTGACGCAAGTCTGAATCGATGCAGTTGCCAAAGCAAACCGATCTTATTTTTTTACGACAGTACTAATCGACTGTTGACTGTAATTACTGAATCCCGTAATAGCAGTGACTTTGGAGAAAATCGAAAGTCATCAATATTGTACGATTGAAAGAACACAAATTTCCTCTTTAGAATGGAGTGCGTTTAGTTTTTCAAAAATACGTTACATATCCTACAAATGTTATTTCATGCCAAATTATTATTATTAGACAACTAGCTTAAAGTTTCCAACAGAATTCAGGCTACCAAATAATGACTTTTGAAGTATTTTTCACGGTAGGTTCTTATGCTTAGCTCACAAAAGAGTTTAGGTACGGATGGGATGAAGTCCTGTGGCCAATTTTTTCCAAAGATGCCGACACTTATAATCAAGATATTTCATGAATTCAATCTTATGAATTGTTACATTTGCAGGTGACACAGTGGTTAGGACTCTCGCCGACCATCCACATGGTTCGGGGTTCGATCCAATGCCGACGCACACCTGATATCTATGGTCGGTCTGCAAAATTTAGGTTACCGATATGACATGCTGAAAATTCCATACGTGTACCAAAAAATGCGGTGTGGAATCAAGCTGTAATCAAAATAAAAAAAATAAGTTGAAGTACTGGGAGACTATACACACATTTACTCCAGTTGATGTCTTAGTCTACACATACAGAGAATAAAGCTGATGGTATATTGTCTTTTATTCACTTATTCAATCACATAACAAATTTGTCCTTTTCATAGTAGTATTCTAATATTCACTGAATATACACACTGGATCATAGGAATTATTATAAAAGACGGTTACAGTGAAGAAAATTTTCTTTTCGATGAAGGCATCAGCTAGCTACATCAGCTGTACACTTGTGTATTTATATTGAGCGTATACTTACTTACTTTACTTTACTTCGGCTATCTCCTACGGGAGGATGAGCCGGCTTCATGAACGTCTCGAATCATCGCTGCCCAGGCGCGGCAATTTGTAAGAGAGTTCATGAAGTTTCATGGGAATTTGGTACGAGTGATGTCCCCAGCATCGCTCGGCTATGAGAAAGTTCTAAAATTATTTCCGGTGGAAAGGTTAAATTAATAAAATTACAAAGTGTAATAAGACGGGAAGATCGGGTAGGATCATAATTACTGAAAGATTTGACTGTTTCTGTACAAATTACGAATGAAGAACGTAGTAAATTACAAAATTAGCTAGGAAGTTCGGACATGTATAAAAAAAAAGAAAACGGTTGCCCCTACTGTGGTCTTCATGAAAAGTCAATCACACCAATAATGCTTTTATCCTGTTGTCTTTCTTATCCAACTTTACTGTCTATTTCTGTTATTTGGTTGCTGTTTTTTTATTTTTATACATGTCCGAACTTCCTACGTGTTCTCTCTTATTACTACGTTCTTAATTCGTAATTTGTACAAAAACAGTCAAATCTTTCACTAATTATGATCTGATTATGGCTTTCCTACCCGACCTTCCCATTTTATTACACTTTGTAATTTGATTAATTTAACCTTTAACCGGAAGTAATTTTGGAACTTTCTCATACGCTCAATATAAATACATAAGTGTACAACTACCTAGTTGATAACTTCGTCGAAAAGAAAAGTTGCTTTGTTGTTTTCAGGATTTCATCATGAGCTGACATTAGTTAGAGAACCATTGGAAAACCTGGGAGTACTGGACAGCTGTTTCGTCCTAGTTTGGGACTCTTCAGCAGAACGCACCCACCGGGATTCCAACCCAGGACCTTCCGGTTACAAGGCTAGCTCGTGTACCATTAAGCCACTGGGACGCGATCCAATGGTCCTGGAATTCTAACTTCTGCCAATTCACGACATAGCGCGACCGCTATCCAATGTCTTCGGCGAGTATTTGTCCTCACACCCGACCCGCTGCACCCTACTGGTCACGACTTCCCACTGGAACCTAGGTAACTACCTACCTGAATAGGGCCAGTCGCCAGTGAGCATCTCATTGGTATTCAAGTGTTGGTTTGTAGGGATTTGTTGTATTCTTGTATTATTCTTAGACATGTAAAACCCATTTCCTCTGCATGTGTTAACAAAACTGGAATTCAGACAAGAAAAGAATGTGCAAAATATGCACGTGAGTAGACAGTTATAACCTGTCACTATAGTGTAAAACAAAAAAATACCGTGTAACTGACAAGGTAAACAGATACAACGATATGATTGGTTGTTTATTTTTAGTAGTTTTTCTTATGATTGGTCAATCCAGCGCATACCACGATCTAGACAATAAGTCTATAACCGAAAAACCGTTTTTTTGTAAGTATTATGGGACTGCCACCACTTATTTGTCAGCATGCATTATTTCTAAGAGAAGGGAAAAACTT